AAGTCTGCTAGAACTGATACATGAATTCAGCAAAGTTGCAGGATGCAAAATCAATGTACAGAAATCAGTTGCATTCTTATACACTAACAATGAAGCAACAGAAAGACAAATAAAGAAACTGATCCCATTCACAATTGCACCAAGAAGCATAAAATACCTAGGAATAAATCTAACCAAAGATGTAAAGGATCTGTATGCTGAAAACTATAGAAAGCTTATGAAGGTAATTGAAGAAGATTTAAAGAAATGGAAAGACATTCCCTGCTCATGGATTGGAAGAATAAATATTGTCAAAATGTCAATACTACCCAAAGCTATCTACACATTCAATGCAATCCCAATCAAAATTGCACCAGCATTCTTCTTGAAACTAGAACAAACAATCCTAAAATTCATATGGAACCACAAAAGGCCCCGAAGAGCCAAAGTAATTTTGAAGAAGAAGACCAAAGCAGGAGGCATCACAATCCCAGACTTTAGCCTCTACTACAAAGCTGTCATCATCAAGACAGCATGGTATTGGCACAAAAACAGACACATAGACCAATGGAATAGAATAGAAACCCCAGAACTAGACCCACAAACGTATGGCCAACTCATCTTTGACAAAGCAGGAAAGAACATCCAATGGAAAAAAGACAGTCTCTTTAACAAATGGTGCTGGGAGAACTGGACAGCAACATGCAGAAGGTTGAAACTAGACCACTTTCTCACACCATTCACAAAAATAAACTCAAAATGGATCAAGGACCTGAATGTGAGACAGGAAACCATCAAAACCCTAGAGGAGAAAGCAGGAAAAGACCTCTCTGACCTCAGCCGTAGCAATCTCTTACTCGACACATCCCCAAAGGCAAGGGAATTAAAAGCAAAAGTGAATTACTGGGACCTTATGAAGATAAAAAGCTTCTGCACAGCAAAGGAAACAACCAACAAAACTAAAAGGCAACCAACGGAATGGGAAAAGATATTTGCAAATGACATATCGGACAAAGGGCTAGTATCCAAAATCTATAAAGAGCTCACCAAACTCCACACCCGAAAAGCAAATAACCCAGTGAAGAAATGGGCAGAAAACATGAATAGACACTTCTCTAAAGAAGACATCTGGATGGCCAACAGGCACATGAAAAGATGTTCAGCGTCGCTCCTTATCAGGGAAATACAAATCAAAACCACACTCAGGTATCACCTCACGCCAGTCAGAGTGTCCAAAATGAACAAATCAGGAGACTATGGATGCTGGAGAGGATGTGGAGAAACGGGAACCCTCTTGCACTGTTGGTGGGAATGCAAATTGGTGCAGCCGCTCTGGAAAGCAGTGTGGAGGTTCCTCAGAAAATTAAAAACAGACCTACCCTATGACCCAGCAATAGCACTGCTAGGAATTTACCCAAGGGATACAGGAGTACTGATGCATAGGGGCACTGGTACCCCAAGGTTCATAGCAGCACTCTCAACAATAGCCAAATTATGGAAAGAGCCTAAATGTCCATCAACTGATGAATGGATAAAGAAATTGTGGTTTATATACACAATGGAGTACTATGTGGCAATGAGAAAGAATGAAATATGGCCCTTTGTAGCAACATGGATGGAACTGGAGAGTGTGATGCTAACTGAAATAAGCCATACAGAGAAAGACAGATACCATATGTTTTCACTCTTATGTGGATCCTGAGAAACTTAACAGAAGCCCATGGGGGAGGGGAAGGAAAAAAAAAAGAGGTTAGAGTGGGAGAGAGCCAAAGCATAAGAGACTCTTAAAAACTGAGAACCAACTGAGGGTTGATGGGGGTGGGAGGGAGAGGAGGGTGGGTGATGGGTATCGAGGAGGGCACCTTTTGGGATGAGCACTGGGTGTTGTATGGAAACCAATTTGACAATACACTTCATATATTGAAAACAAAAAACAAAAAACAGAAAAAAAAGAAAACGAAAATTTCTTTTAGGTCAAGTCTGCTGGCAATTACGTCACTCAGATTTGTTCATGTTACTGTTTATTTTAAGTTTATTTATGTATTTATTTATTTGCTGGCTTTATAATCGAAGATTGACAGCTTTTTTTTCAACACTTTAAAGCTTCATCATATTGATGAAAAAGTTATGTAAATTTTTATCTTTGTTTCTCAGTATGTAATGATTGTGTGCATGTGTGTTTTCTTGATTGTTTTAGTACTTGTTTTCAACAGGATGATTATAATGTGACATTGTATGTTTTCATTTTTGTATCTCTTGTTTTTGTACTGCTTCTTGACTTCCTGGGTTTGTGGCTTTCATCAAAGTGAAAAATTTTCAGATACAATTTCTTCAGCTATATGTTCTGTCCCTTGCTCTTTTCTAAGATTCCAATGATGTATGTTATTGTTCTAGAAGTCACTCAGATTCTTTTACTTTTTCTCCACTCTCTTTTATCTCTGTGCTTCATTCTGAATATATTCTACTACTGAGGTTTCAGGTTCACCAGTTATTTCATCTTCAGGGTCTATTCTGCTATTAATCTCATTTAGGAAAATTTCATACATAAATTCTATTTTATACCTTTTACAATCTTTGCTAATTCCATCATTCTTACTTCTTACATTTTTTTTTATTGCCAGATTTTTCTTCTGATGGGTCACGTTAAGTTATTTATTTATTTAATTTTTTGGTGAGAGACAGGGGAATGTCATTATTCTAAGTTCAGGCCTGCTTTATTTCTATGCTACCATGCACCCGTATCCTGTGTTTCTTGTATTAAGCAGATTCTCTCCATTCTGGTTGTTCATTACTCTAAAAGAATCAGGGAAGTTTGGAAGTTGTTCTTTCTACTAGTTATTCTTGTTTGGCATTATGGAGTTTAATCCTGAGCATGTATGGACTGGTATTTAGCCAAAGACTCAGGCACCTTGAATTTCTGGAGTTTATTTCTCTGGGTAGTTTCTGCCTCTTAGGTATGCTGACCCACAAATGTAGTTGCCTTCCCTTTCTTGAACACTAAATTCGGTTTCTTCAGCTCAGGGAAAGTGTTGGACTCCGTTGGGGTTTCCTCTCCCACACTACCTTCTGCAAATTGTCTCCAGGCAGAAAACGCACTTCATGAGACTCATCTCTTGTTTCCTTTCTTTTATTAACAGTTCTGCACTACCTGTGGTCCAATGATGGAAACCTATTATTTCCTGTATGTTGTCCAGGGTTCTAGTTATTTGTGTGAGAGGGCAAATCTCATAGAAATTACTCCTTCATAGACTGAAGGACAAAAATCCCAAACACCAATTTAATTAAATAATATTTGTGTTAACTATAGAACTGCAGAGTCTTTTGGAGGAAGACAGAATCCTAAGTATAAACAAAGTCATATAACATATTAAAGACAACTTTCCTACTTGTAGTCAAATTTATCTACTTAACATTTGTTGCTAATCTAAGATTTTTTATTGTATATGCAAATAATTCTTCTATGCTCTTTTCGTTAAGTTTAGACTTACTCAAGTAAAGTCTTATTTCACTTTTACTTTTTGATGAACTTTACAGTATAGAAAGTTAATGGCTTGTTTTTAGTGAAATAGGTTTCTTTTGGGCACATGTGTTAATATTGATTTAATAGTCTGTACTAGCATGCCACATTTCTTGGCATGTTATCTAGGTGTCCATTATCTCTAATGTAGATTCATCTAAGGATCAGGAACGTGAATTACAGAAACAAGAGGGATAAATCTTTTATTGAGGTGATCTGACCAAGAGTTTCCTGGTACCTGCAGAAGTGGAAAATGATAGGCTGTGTGATATAATTTTAAAGGTAGATTTATTTGACACCAAAAGCAGAGGAGAAGAAGAACTAGCTTCTTCAGCTCCTATAAAGGCAGTGAAACCAAGTGAGAATCTCTGGGGACAATACTTAAATGAGGAAATAGGGACTTAATAATTGTAAGGGTTCATCACCCCTTTGAAACCTTCTCCACTTTCGAGTTTCTTGGTTCAAGATCCCAATGTGTATTAGTCAATTTGTGGCAAGACTCATCTTTCTATATATACCATGACTTCATGTAGCCAGAATGAAAGTTTAATTTTAATTTTCCATTAAAAATATCAGGAAAAGGGGCGCCTGGGTGGCGCAGTCGGTTAAGCGTCCGACTTCAGCCAGGTCACCATCTCGCGGTCCGTGAGTTCGACCCCCGCGTCGGGCTCTGGGCTGATGGCTCAGAGCCTGGAGCCTGTTTCCGATTCTGTGTCTCCCTCTCTTTCTGCCCCTCCCCCGTTCATGCTCTGTCTCTCTCTGTCCCAAAAATAAATAAACGTTGAAAAAAATTTAAAAAAAAATATCAGGAAAAATATACTCAGAACCCATGAAGAGAAAACTACAATTTGATGTCATTTCTGCTATCCTAAGTATGATTTTTTAGACCAGGAACCTTTCTTGTCCATCACAAAATGAGTTGGGTAGATGTCCCCCTGAACCCTAAGATGGGGAAAGATCCTTTTTTTAAATTCTTTCTCAAATGTGAAGGAAAGAGGGAAAGATGTTGACAGAGACACTTGACAGATTGACCAGCAGCCAAGCCCATTTTATGTTTCCTATCTGAGATAACACTGTATTTCAATGTGATTTCTTTTCAGAAACAAAGTCAGACATGGAAGTCTCTGGCAACAGAGAGGTTGGAAGAGGAGATATTTAAAGTAAGACAACTGTGAGAAAAAGGGGCGCATGGGTGGCTGAGTCAATTAAGTGTCCGACTTCAGCTCAAGTCATGATCTCGTGGTCTGTGAGTTCGAGCCCCACGTCGGGCTCTGTGCTGACAGCTTAGAGCCTGGAGCCTGGTTCAGATTGTGTGTCTCCCTCTCTCCCTGGCCCTCCCCCGTTCATTCTCTGTCTCTCTCTGTCTCAAAAATAAATAAACGTTAAACAAAATTTTTTTAATAAAAATTAAAGACAAGTGTGTGATGTCGGTACTCACAATGCAGTACTCTCTATTGTAGTAAGTGTATATATTGCTATGAGCAATCAAGACAATGCCAGAATGTTGTAGCAGTTGGGATCACAGACCCACATTTTAGATTAAGACTGTCATTTACTGAAATCTGTTTATAAGAAAACATCATTAGCTGGAAGGTGGGTGGTTCGATTCATCTCCTTCTTAGTAGTTTGAAATTACAAATGCTCTTTTGTAAGGTTATAAGGAACTCTTGTATTTAAGGAGTTGTAACTCATTGTTAATTGACTTTCATTCATGTTCTCTTTCTAAGAACTCTCTTTACAGTCAGCGGTCACTCTTGGTATAAGAACATTGTACCCAGAGGTTTCTTGTATCCAAAAGAACCTTGAGCATTTTCTGGCAGGAGAGATAAAAGGAAAACAGATGAAGAAAGCCAAGTAGCTTTAGTTAATTGACTTATGTATACATGGTTCTTCAGTCCTTTTTTGAAACTGGTTGACAAGGCTACCACCTGGTTTCCGATCCTCTCTCCTCTCTGATTCCCAATCATATTTCCTCCCAGAATATCTTTCCATTCCCTCTGCTTCTACAACATCGAGGGATTCTCAAAGCATGATCACTGGACAATTTCCCCAAAGTTTTCCAAATCCACAGAAGAATAGTGGAATATGCCACTCCGAAATCTGCCACTTTGGGATATCGATTATTGGGGCTGTAGGTACTTGAGAAAACAGCAAATGCAGGGAGATTTCTCTGAACCTCCCTTATCTGCTTAAAGGCAGATCTTCCAAAGGGAACTCCTTGTCATAAATCTCCTTCCAAGAGTGTCATTAACCAGGAAGGACTGACTTGTCACAAGAGAGGAACCTGAAAGTCAACATCACACCTAAACTTTGTCACAAATTATCACACTTCCCATCTCTTCTCCAAGTACCCATCATCGTTCCTAAAAATGATTTCCTTTTGCCTAAGAGGCCCACATCTCCTCCCCTTTGTCTCTTAGAATGGCCTCTAAGCCTGCATTCTAAGCCACCTCACAAAGTTATTCATTTTCCCCAAAGGCATCTTCCATGTATACCTGTGGCATACATGTTAATCAAATGTATGTTTCTTTAACTCTTATTAATCTGCTTTTAATTGCAGGTGTCTCAGCTAAAGACTCTGGAAGATACAGGGGAAATTTTCCTCCCTGTTGTAGACTCTGGGTCTGGAGTTCTCTCTTGTCCAGCCAGACAGTGGGATGCAGAATTAAAATGCGAGAGAGGCAAATGTCTGGGAAGAGACTAGAGCCCCCAGTAAGGGTCCTTGCTCCGTTTTCATTAAGATCATAAGGCTTACAAGCATGATGGATGTGCGTAAAGAGACCATGAAACCATGAACATTAATTCATGAGCATGGGGAAAGGGAGTTTTGAAGATATGCGGTGTTAGGGGTTTAGGTCAATACAAAACAAAATTGCTCTGCTGGGTGGAAGGTTGTTTACAGCAGACATGAGGCCCCAACTCTGTTTACCTAAACTGGCCTAGGGGACAAGAAAGAGCAAGCACCTTAGGGACAACAAGTCACCTTTCTTTTGCTAATTAGCTTCCTCTGGGCAACTTTGCCCTGCTTCAGTCTAAAGTCCTGTTTTCCTGTTTTTGTCCTTCCTTTCTGTGAAAGCAGTTTTCTTGTAGTAAATTGGGGGGCCTTTCTTCCCTGAATACCTAACCTTGCTTACCTAATCTTGGATATTTTCATCCTGAGATTTCCTCCTCTTATACCTTTGTCCTATACTGGGGCCTTTGCCAGGTTTGCCTAATCTTATTTACCCCAATTTGGGTGTGTACATCCTATGCCTTTCTAATTCTTTATGCCTTGTTAACCCATGGTGCAGTCCCAAGGAATCCCTAAGCTTATTCCCCATACCTCCCTCTACCACAAATAATTTTCTGGATAAAGCATGATAGTACAAGATCATGGCACAGTGGCTTGAATCCCTTGCACCATATTTATTTGTTATAATATATTCATGGGAACAAATATTGAGAAATAGCTATGTGTGAAGTATTGTTCTAATTACTTCACAGTACATATTCACTTATTACTCATAACCTAGTGAAGCGCTATCATCAGCCACTTTTCATAGATGAAAGAAGTTAAATAATGTTCTCAAGTTTACAGAAATAGTTCCAACCCAGGCAATTAGATTCAAACCCATGCTTTTACACATTATACTATAATGTATTTGTATAGCCTCACAGGGTCACACACAGTATTGTACAAATAATGTGAACTCAGTAAATATGTATTGACTAATAATTTGAGGTCAGACTGTTTAATAAAAATTATTTTCTTAAATGTTTTAAAATATATACTATTAAGCACTATTTTTAAACTGTTGAAGACATTTTGTTCACTTAGAAAATAAAAATGTAAGAAATAATTTTAGTATTATGTGATCAAATAAGGTATGAGTAGATGAGTAGGACCACTCATTTGGAATTTTCTAAATTACCACATGTAATTTTAAACAACTTTAGCAATTTACTACGGTTTCTAGAACTCCTCTTAGAATTCTACTTTTGAACAGCTCTCACATTTTGGTAAAGTCACTTAACCTTCTTTCAATTCTCACTTCTGAAAAAGAAAGATAAATAATTCTTACCTTAGTTTAGGAGGCAATTCACAGAGCAGTAAATAAAAAATCCCATACATTCATAAAATTCTAGAGCTACACTTGACCTCAAGAGCTCATTCATCCTCCTGGGAATCAAATTTCTTGTAGGTGAATGTTTTTTTCAGTGTGTTTCTGTGCACCTTCCAACAGTACCAAGAATTTTGCTATAAGGAATTAGACAAGAGTAAAATCTGGACTCTAAATCATTTTCATATCCTATTGTTAAAACACCATTTCAGGTTCAATATTTATCTAAGATGTACACTAACTTATTCTTATGTTTATAATCCAACATTTAATCTTTACCTTTGACCTTAACATCTCAGAAATGTCTTACTACCCTTTGTTTTAGAGCTACCTTTCTCTTCATCATGAGAGTTCCTGTGTAGGCTCTCCATTAAGATTAAGTCTCCCTTTTTGATCTTAAGGTATTCTTCCAGTGTCTTCCAACTTTACTTTTCTTTGTCCTCTGCTTTGCTTCATTCAAGTGAGAATCCGAAAGAGGTCTTTAGTCTCTCCTTCTCTTTTGTTTTTAAGCTCAACCTGTTTCTTACACTTAGGATGGTATCTTTTGAAATCAAAACCTAAATGCTGACCTCATGGCCTGTTAATGTACTCCAAGACCTAGGATGTTTATATATCTTGGATTTATTAATAATAGATTGTAGAATCTCGGCTTCCTTAGCCTATACCCTCAAAAGACAATTTATTCTAAATACCATATGTCACTTTTCTTTGTACTCTTAAAATTTTAGTGCATGTATACTGGGAATGAGAATATAGGACCAAAAAGAAACACAGTGAATCCAGAAAACTTAAAAATGTAATGAATATAATGGACTAGGAAGTATGGAAGGTGGAGATAAGATATCGAACAATGACAACTAGATGACTAATCCTGACATTAATAAGGATTTTGAATTCTGGATGGAAACACATTTAGTGGGAAAAATTGTGGTTATTTTGAATCTGAGTTGCTGGCAATGCAATAAGGTATAATAGTTTTAAAAGTATTTAGAAATTTATGACTCTAGAATCTTGACAATGAGTTAAGGGTTGGAGATACAGACCTATATATTTCACAGAGAGATGAGGGTTGAAATCACAGAAATAGATGAAATTTTAAAGAAAAGGAATAAAAAGTGAGTGAAAAAGGTGAGATAGTGAGAAATGCTGACATTTGGAAAATAATTAGGAAAGAAATTACAACAGACAGAAAGAAAACTAGGAGAAAAGGGACACTTGGGTGGCTCAGTTGGTTAAGCATCCAACTCTTGATTTCAACTCAGGTTGTGGTTTGTGGGATCAAGCCTCACGTCATACTCTATGCTCATAGCACAGAGCCTGCATTGGATTTTCTCTGTCTACATCTCTGTACCTCTTCCAGTCTCTCTCTAAAAAAATAGTAAACATAAAAAAAAGAAAACTAGAAGAATGCAGTGTTATGAAAGCAAACAAAGTTTTTAATTGGAAGTACACACTCAAAAAAAACATATAACCAAGATGCTTATATGTAGATAGAATTAAGATACTTCAGGGAGGGGCGCCTGGGTGGCTCAGTCGGTTAAGCAGGTGACTTCGGCTCAGGTCATGATCTTGCGGTCTGTGAGTTCGAGCCCTGTGTTGGGCTCAGTGCTGACAGCTCAGAGCCTGGAGCCTGTTTCAGATTCTGTGTCTCCCTCTCGCTGACCACCCCCCCCCCAGCCCCGTTCATGCTCTGTCTCTGTCTCAAAAATAAATAAAACGTTAAAAAAATAAAAAAAAAAAGATACTTCAGGGAGTGATACTTGCCAGTCTATTTTAACTCGTAAGTGATATTACTACCATAAATGAGTGAATTCATTAATGTGGGTAAATTTTATGAGAGATAACTTGGAAACGGTATTTTTTTTTTAATGTTTATTTAATTTTGAGACAGAGAGAGACAGAGCATGAACGGGGGAGGGTCAGAGAGAGGGAGACACAGAATCCGAAACAGGCTCCAGGCTCCGAGCTGTCAGCACAGAGCCCGACGCGGGGCTCGAACTCATGGAATGTGAGATCATGACCTGAGCCGAAGTCGGCTACTTAACCGACTGAGCCACCCAGGCGCCCCGGAAACAGTATTTTTAATGTCATGATACATTTTAGTAACTTGTGCCCAGATTCTGTCTTGTAAAGAGTCCACACGGTCCATGGTGCCTGACTTGAACAGAGGCTGATTCCGAGGACTTCATATTCAGAACATGCTGAGCAGTTCATTCTCAGATTAGTATGGTGTGGTCTTCATCTGCCACAGGCACATCAGTTGTGGGAATCGATCTACCTTCCAAACCATGTCACAGGAATGGCCATATTTCATTGATACTATAGTTAAATCAAGACGTCCTGGGTATCCAATTGCCTGGTCTTTATAATTTAAACCTGAATTTGTCCTTGATATTATTAATTCCTTGTCTATCAGCTCCAAAGTAACCCCATTGTTCTACTCTGTATAAATGGATATGGGCTTTTAAAATATGGTTATTTTGTTCAGGTGGTCCTGAAGCTTTCACAGTAGAGAATGTTAGAGAGACACTGTGGGAAGAAAGGGCTTTGCTTCCAGCAAGTTCCACCATCATCCACCATAGGCAACTTTCTGGCAACATGTGAGTCATGGTGGTATATTCTTCAACAAGGTCTGTATCTCAGCAGGATGGGGATTTATATAGAGCTTTTCCTTGGGTGTTCATATCAATACTAGGATTGGTGACTACTCTTTATATCTGGTATTTTTATACTCTTTAGAGTTGTCTTTACTTATTAGCCCATCTCTCATTAATTATTTTAAACTCTTGTTATACTTCATTTTTCTTTATATTGATATTCTCTGTTCAAATCCTGCATGGTTGCTCTCTCCTGATTGGATCCACACTGACACATTGACCAAATGACATTCTACAATCAAATTTATGACACTTTATGATACTGAAGTATAAAATAAAGATTTTTGTGCTAGTTATCGTAATTAAATTGTACCACCTCTCCAAATCTATATCCCACATGGATTATAGATCTAAATGTGAAAGTTACGTTATACAGTCTTTGGAAAAAAATACTAGGGACATATTTATGGCTTTGGAAAAGGCAAAAAGCTCTTACACAGAAACATTATCAAACCAATTAATCATAACATTAAAAAATGAAAAATTGTACTATGTTCAAATAAGAATTTATATTCATCAAAAGTCACAATTAAATAATCAAAAATATAAAGTGACTTTCATTTAATATATAAAAACAACTCCTACAAATGATGACACAAGGCTGAGAACACAATAGAAAAATAAGCAAAAGATTTTATATTTCATAAAACAAGACAGCTACCCAAATGGCCAATAATTTTATTAAAATATATGCAACTTCATTAGTCATTAGGAAATGCCAGTTAAATCCAAAATGTGATATGTGATAACAGTACAACTACCAGAAAAGCTAAGATGAACAAAATAAAAATTAAAAATACACATAATACTAAGCTCCGGCAAGAGTGTAGAGCAACTGGAATGCTCACAAATTGATAGTGAGAGTGCAAACTGGTATAAAAACTTGTCCAAAATGTTTGCCAATATCTACTAAAATGAATATGTGCATAGTGTATCACCTGACATGTATGTTTACCAAAAATATGTACAAAAGTGTTCATAACAGCACTATACGTAATAGCCTGAGATTTAAAATAACTGCTGCCCATCAGCCATGGGATGGAAAAAGAAATGGTAGTATACTTAAGCAGTTTCCTACTGTACAGAAATGAGAAATGTCAAACTATTATGTACGCAAGAAGTCAGACAAAGAGCAAATACTTAGAAATCAGCCTCCATGAACAAAAGTCAACCTTTGTGGAAGAAAGTATCTCGACAGACAAGACGTGGTTTGGAGATGCCTGTTAATCTTCTGGCTCTTATTAGTGCTGGGATGACAAGTGTGCTGACATTTTAAAATTCACTAAGGTACACACTAATGATTGGTACAGTTTTTCTGGATGTTTGTTTTACTACTAGAAAGACTTAAAAAAATCATAAAAATAAGATAGTTCTTCAATAGAATAAGAAAGATCTTCATACAGGTAGGATATGATATTCCTATCCAGTCATATTACTAACTGAAATATTATTAATTCCCAATTATCTTTATTGATGTTACTTTCTAAAGAGTCCTTTAATTACTCATATTACTCACCAAAATATTATTAATTCCCAATTATCTTTATTGATGTTACTTTCTGAAGAGTCCTTTAACATTTGTCACTTCTATGCGTCTCTTCTTTGAGCTTATAAAGTAGCCATTTAGTTACATGCTTACAGTCTGAAGCTTTCCATTTCTCACAGATTTATGTGACAAATAACAGAGTTATATTACTTAGAGAAAACTGTATGAGTCCCTTCACAAGCGCCCAGAAACAGGTCACATATAACACTTTGTTAAATGTAACAACAACCATTCTTGACTTAGAAACTCAATACTCAAGTCAAGGCTTATGGGAAAAGAAGCAAGCATGTGAATGAAAGCACACGTAACAGTAAGAGCTGACATACTTGGCATGTAAGGATCCTTTCATTTTGTGCTACTCCATTTGTTAGAGTCCAGAGGCCAATAGCAAGTTTATGTTCTCAGGTCTTGATGCCACAATGAAGTGCATTTTATGACGGGCATGATGTGGTGCTCAGCTGGTGGATTAATGTGTTGTGATGGTTGCTATGCTTGTGATTGAAAGAATGACTCACTATTCGTCTATTTATTATTTATGGATTACATGGTGGGCCAGCAGAGAAAGAGAAGAAGAAAACTTGCAAACTAAAATCAATACAAATAATAGCCTCTCCCAAGAGAAATCCCAGGGGCTTAGGTATCTCTCTTCTTTCTATCTTTGAGCCTTCTTTTTCTCTCTCACTTTTTTCTTTCCGTCTTTGCTCTAAAAGCAATTCTCTATGAAAGACTGTTTCACTATTATGCTCTCTTCTTCGTAATCATTAATGTTTTTGCTCTGCCTTTTCCTAAATGTTCCATTTTAAATTAAAATGGTAGAGGTATGATACCCTTTGATTAATTCTTCACTCCATTATAATTTGTGGAAAGTGTATGTTCAATGGTAGACACTGTTCAAGACCAGGAAGACAGTCAATGTGAATAATAAAATATGTAATATTTATATTTTGCTCTTCCTAATAACCATATGAGATAATCCCTTCTTACTAGTCAGTAGTAAGTTTACATGAAGCAGTATGATGAATATACATATGTCTATAACATATACATATACCATTTTGTTCATGGTCTTCAGGATTTTATTTTCTTACATAGGACTATACTGAGATGGGTTTCACATTGATATGACTAGCACCTCAACATTAAATATATTATTAATGGGTTAAAAAAATGAAGTGAGCAAATTAAAAATTATATATTATCTGGAATCACTGCAAATAGTTTTTTTTTTTTAACGTTTATTTATTTTTGAGACAGAGAAAGACAGAGCATGAAGGGGGGAGGGTCAGAGAGAGGGAGACACAGAATCTGAAACAGGTTCCAGGCTCTGAGCTGTCAGCACAGAGCCCGACGCGGGGCTCGAACTCACAGGCCGCGAGATCATGACCTGAGCTGACGTCGGCCGCTCAACCGACTGAGCCACCCAGGCACCCCACAAATAGTTTTTTTAAAGCAGTCTTTCCAATATTCTACTTCTGTTCACTAAAGTTGGGTAATAATTTAAGTAGTTGAGCAGAAACAGAGTTTATGAATCTATTTACTTCTTGAGAAAAATAAGTGCTGTTCAAAATGTAAAAAGAAACGTGTAAGTTTTATGTTTAAGTTTGCTGGTATAAATTTCTATAATACTTTCTACAAAAATAGTTTCCCTCAATATATTAATCAATACTGTGCCAATTTATTTTCTTGTATCCATTCATATCAAGTGCTAACTATATTCTTTCTGTCATCACATTTATAATTGGATTATCTGCCTGACAGTTTATTTTAGTGTTTGTCAGTTCAAAAATGGGAACTTGATTTAATATAGCCAAAAGAGTGATGGTTGATGGAGTCAAATTATGAAGGGTCTTGTGGCCCACAGAAAGACTCTGATTTTGATTCCAAGCAAGATAAGAAGCCATTAGATAATTTTCACTGATGAAAAATATGGTAAGATTCCGTTTAAAAATTTTCACTTTAGTCACTCATTTGATAATGGACTGAAGAGGCCAAGAGAGGAACTGGGAAAACAGCAAGAAATGATCAAGGTAGTAGCAGCAGGGATAGTAAGAAGGTGGCTGAGTTCTTGGCATATATTTGAGGGATTTAATTCCCCCAACAGGATGTCCTAATGGCATGAACATATAAAGTGAAGAAAAGAGTTAAGGAAGACTGAGGTGGTTGATAGGAACATTTCAAAGATGAAACTGCTTTTAAGTCTGAAGGAAAAAACAGAAGAAACAGTAAGGTCTTAGGAGAAACATATTTGAGATGCCCATTAGATGCCTATCAAGCATCCAAAGAACCATGTGGTCGAAAATTTTGATAAAAGAATCCAGAGTGCAAGGAGGGTATAAATTTCCCAGAGGGTAAAATTTCCCAAAGACACATTAAACATTATACTTTGCTACTGAATGTTAAGTTGAATTGATAATTTTTTGAAATTTTTACATAGCATCTTGGGTCCTGCCATCAAAACTAAGAAGATGCATATTCAAAAAGTATGAAATCAAATTTACAATTCATATTGTCTGAATATTGCCATGGTTTACACATCTTTCAAAAAGTTAACAAGTCCTTATAAATATGTGACGTTAGTGGGATTGCTTCATCTTTTGAAGAGGCTATGAACTAATAGCAAGTTTGCATAACTGTTAATCATATTTTGATTTCCATAGCACCTTAAGGTTGTGTGAGAAATGAATGTCTTCTCTCCAAAATAATCAAAACCTAGCTTTTGACAGACTTATAGTGCTCAGCAAAGTATGTATACTTTTCCTTAATAACTTCCAGTAAATTATAGGTCCAAATAACATACAGAAAAAAAACTGATCATACAGTCAATTCTTCCTATTCATATAGTTTTGCTCTGTATAGTCTCTACAAAGATTGCATTAGCTAATACTGAACAAGGGTTCCTAGGGGAACTACAGAGCTGGTTCCTGCAAACTCTGGTTACAACATTTTCATCAGCTTAGCCTTGATCAGTACATAGCTTTGTCTTATAGAAGTTTCCTTCCAACAGCACCTTACTTAATATGTATCACTGATTCATGTACAGTGAACTCATGGCCAATAGCATTGTAACTCATATCTGAAGGGAGCTTATCTAACACATGTATTCATTTCCTTTCTCCATGAGGCACATCACAGCCTTCTTGCACTTAGGAACACTAGACAGCACTTCAGCACTACATCTGGGGTCATTTTAAATAGTAAAATCACTAAAAGCTAAAAAATGTGAAATATGTCACACTAAAAAGACTATGAAAAAGGTGCATTTGTAGTATGTGAGCTGAAATAAGAAGGCAGAGCACTGTACTCTTTCAACTTCCCTGGAAACATACACATAGAATGACTTCAATTTTTAGCCACTCCATACAAATCCAAGCATGACCGTGAATGAGCTGCAAGTATTGATTTGGGGGGTTACAAAAAACTTTAATGCATAGGCAAGTTGACAAATATAGAATCTGTGAATGAGGATCTATTGGTCATATACGCCTATATTCTTAGATTCACATCTAAATGTCCACTCCTCCCCCATAGACAATAAAATGTCAACTACTTAGTAGCAGAATGGGAAAACAGCACAACAAATGAAAAATCAAAAACAAAAAGCATAAAGCCTGTATCATAATGTCAGTGCTATCCTAATGAAGAAAAATTAGAATGAGGGGGAAATGATTGTTGGATACTAACAGAAACATTTTGTTGGTCTGTAACTGCTTAGGCTTGATGTAGATTTTCAAACCAGTATTTTTGGTGGTTCTATATAATTTTTCCTTGTAAATATCATGCCTATTATCTCTATTAATGTCATTATTTTTATTTCACTCTAAAATGGGTTTCAGCTATTATATATGCTATGGTAGAACATGCTGTATTAGTTGATTTTAAACTGATCCTTGTTACCAACATTATCATAGTCCCCTTCACTCTCCTATTGAGATTATTGCTTTTCTGTTGGCCAGGAAGAATAAGATGAATTTTGAATTTTTAAAATTCTACAGAATATATTTGGGCATCTGAACAAAAAGAATAATTCTTGATCATTGTCCTTTGTTTATAAGGAAACCTGGATGAGAGAGTATGAGAATCTGTAAATATTTCAAATTAAGCAATATTTGATTATTAACACAATAAGATAATCAATGCACAATGGTTTTTCAAATTACTTTACTTACCTTTGTTCAAAAATTGCCAATGCATTAGGTCTCAATTTTGAATCATACCAATATCTTTATACCACACTGTTTTACAAATACATTTTAAGTATTATTATGATGTAGGCAGGCCAGCTCCAAGGATCCAGAGGGGTCCCACAGGACCCACCAAGAGGATCCTTGGCTATGCACAGGATAGAAATCAAACGTAAGGCAGCAGGAAGTGAATCAGAGTTTACTGAAAATATACAGAGGGAGTTCAGATGCAGGTGGAGAGTCTGGGAGATTCAGAAAGGAAAGGAGAGTCCCATCTTTGCTTTGGGTTTGGGGGTTGTATTGAGGATTGTGCTCTGGTGTATGTGTCCTTCTAGGCATCCAGGTACTGGTAAGAACAAGGACAATAGTCCAGGTGTCCTCCATAAATCCCTTATTCCTTAGGAACAGGGGTTCTTGGTATCAAGACTTCTAGCACTGGTGGTCTGGAATATGCACACGATGGCTTCATCCAGTCATTCTTGCCTGATCCGTCCTTGGATGTTATCTATTATGCTGGAAGCTCTAAAGAATCATTAACTACTTGTCCTTTACAAGGAGAACATACAGTATGAAGCCCGTGTAAGGTAGGGGTGCAGGTCTTATCAAGACTAGAAGCAGGAAAAGGAGCAAAAAGCAGATTTCTATGGAGTCCCTTCAGCTTCCCTATTCTCAATTATATTAGCAAAAATAGCATTGTATAGTTTTTCATTTGTCCCATCTGATATTTCTAAAGCTATATTTGCTATCTAAATTTTACTTCCTTTCTTTGCTGTATATTTATATTCTTTGAATGAGTTTTACTCTGCTGTTCTAGATTTCAGGTAATTGTCACAGTTGTGTATCACTTTACCTATCACCTACCAGTGCAGACCAACTGAGCCAGACACGAAGGGAGAAGAATTATGTATGTAAGTAAATACCGAATCACAGTTTACAGAATAATTTAGTCTCATTGCTTTCAATGACTTTTGGAAACTCAAAGTATCTTCTAGATATCACACTTAAATGAGTAGTTAATTATCATGAAAACACAGAACTAACAATGCTCACTTGCACTTGGGTTAGAATTATGCTATCTGCTTATCACTTGGTCATGGTGCTTAAACTCTTTTCATTAGGGGTGCCTGGGTGGCTCGGTCGGTTAAGCGTCCGACTTTGGCTCAGGTTATGATCTCACGGTCCGTGAGTTCGAGCCCCGTGTCGGGCTCTGTGCTGACAGCTCAGAGCCTGGAGCCTGTTTCAGATTCTGTGTCTCCCTCTCCCTCTGCCCCTCCCCTGTTCATGCTCTGTCTCTCTCTGTCTCAAAAATAAATAAACGTTAAAAAAATTAAAAAAAAATCTTTTCATTAAATATCCCTATGCAAATATATTATTAATAAACATTTCAAATTAATACATATCTCATATCAAACAAGATTTGACTATTACACATTTGATTCAAGATTTGTTCAGCCAATACTTATACCAACTATCAAAAATTCATGTTCATAATTCGTGTGTGTGTATATTTATATATAGATATATATATATATAGATACACAAATTCTACACTCCCTGTTTTTAAAGATGCATAACTCTATTGTCTTTCACTGATTATTTTGCTTTTAAATCATTTCTTCTGGTCAGTCATTTTGTCTTGATACCTGCTGGCACATTGATTAGTTTGTGACACATCAAAAATAAAAAAAGTCAGAAAAAGTGTAGACTGAAGAAATATGGTAACAGAACTAAACGAGTTTGCTCCTTGGTGAATCACAGATAGAAACCATAGCAGGTAGAGTTGTTGCACAAAGCAAACTATTTGCAGCAAACAAGGAGATCATGGAAAATAACCGCCACAACTGTGATTTACCAAACAAAGGTAAATGGGTTCCTTTTATTTAGGGTTAGGGATAAATACTTACAAAGGGAGGCCTTGTTCATCATTTGTAGAGGCAGGCGTAGCATTGCTCCTGTGACTTAAGGAAACATGCCAATCAATGCATTGGATGTCATGTAAATGAGGCTTGTGCCTTAGGCAGAGATCTTAGTATTATAGTGACATAAAGGTAACTGTTGGGAACTCCAGGAGTCACTTCGTGGTCTATCTGTGCAGGCCTGAGTTGGCATTAAGTTCAAACTGGTCTGGGTGGTCTGGGTCGCTGGAGTTCCTCCTCCAGGTGGTGGTTATTGCTTCCGGGGTAGTTTTGATTTCCACAGGGGATGCTTTGCCTGTATGGTCTTTCGCCACAGTGACAAGATAAACTGGCAAGAAGAGATTACAGAAAATTACGGGACAAAGATCGGTGAGTACAAGCAGGTGAGCTGTAAAGGTCATGTCTTGGGGTGTAGCTGGTGACAATATTATAGCAAAAGAAGTTTTTAAGTGTCATTGCAGGAGCATATATTAAAAGAGGCTGTGGCCTGAAAGCTCAGAGAGAGAAAAAACTGAGAGGGTTGGGGTGGGAGGTCAGGACATAGCAATTATTCTGCATTGTTCTCTTCAACTTATTAACCACTAAGTTCCCTGGAAAGAAAATACACACTTGGTTCCTATGAATTGCTGGAGCTGTACTTCACATTTTTGTCATCATTTGATAAATAGTACAGTTAAAACATGCATCAGTGTTTTACCTTTCTTGACATTTTAGACACATAGCATTTGGAAAAAGAAACTAATTATAGAAACGTTCTCTTGATTAACCCGAAGTATTTTAGTAAAACAATATCTTGATTAAGCCACATAAATCATAACTCTTAATGTTTTTATCAATGGAGATCATGTATATTTTTACTGAGTCCAAATCAAGAACAGAAATAAATTAATGATGAAGTAGCAAAGACCATATGGTAAATTCAATTAAATTAATTAAGAATTTAATTAGAAACAAACATGTGCCTAGTAGTCTATTAAATATTGAAGGGCACACAAAGGAAGCACAGGGTACAGAACATGTTCTCCAGATACATACAACAGCACTTGAAAAATACATGAGATACACACCTGAAATAATTAAGGTTAAAGTAATTCAGAACTTTGGAATTGGAGTGACATGGGTAAAAAACTTAGAACCCCAGCTTCTAAATCTTTAACTTTGGGCATATTGCTTGAATTCTTTAATCCTCAGGGCCTCAACTATACAATGGGACTATGAACAAACACATCAATGGATTGCTTCAAGAGTAAAATGAGGTATGAATATAAAATAGTTTATGAAATACCCATCATACTGTAGATATTTTTAAAGTCGGGGGGCGCCTGGGTGGCGCAGTCGGTTAGGCGGCCGACTTCAGCCAGGTCACGATCTCGCGGTCCGTGAGTTCGAGCCCCGCATCGGGCTCTGGGCTGACAGCTCAGAGCCTGGAGCCTGTTTCCGATTCTGTGTCTCCCTCTCTCTCTCTGCCCCTCCCCCGTTCATGCTCTGTCTCTCTCTGTCCCCCAAAAAATAAATAAACATTAAAAAAATTTTTTTAAAGTGGTAAAACGTGAAAATATGGTGGTTCATTCACCTCACACGGTAATGGCTACATAGTATCTAACCATATAGAGATGCAATGATACGGATATTAAGAGGAAAGACTACATCTGTGTACAGCATGATGCTATATGAAATGGTATAAAAATGATTTTTCGGATAGGTTGAAATTATAGGTGATATTTATTTTATGTTTTATTTTGTCTATATACTCTTCAAATTTTTTGGAATAGTTTTTGTAACAGTCATGGATTACTTTTTAACCAAGAAATTGAGTAATGAATGAGATACACTGTACTTGTCAGTGTTCTCATGAAGTAGAACCAACTGGAGAGAGAGACAGAGAGAGACAGAGATTGGTTGATTGACTGATTATGAGCAACTTGCTCACACAATTATGGAGGATGAGAAGTCTCATGATATTCCATCTGTAAGCTGAAGACTAGCAAAGCCCGTAGTCTATCGTCCATACACTCTGTGTCCAAAGGCCTGAGAACCAGGGGACCCACAGTTGTCAGTCAGCCCCAGGGGCACACGAGAATGGTGATCCAGATTCACTGTTAGCTGAAACACAAATTCTGCTTTCCTCCAACTTTTCATTCTATCAGGCTTTCAGTGGTTTGGATCCCGTCCACTCACACTGGAGAGAGCAATCTGCTTTACTCAGTCTACCAATTCAAATGCTACACTCAACCAGAAACACCAATAATAGACATACCCAAAAATGTTAAGCCAACTTCTCAGCACCCTGTGATCCAGTCACACTGACACATAAAATTATCCTTCACATATATTGCACAGACATGATATTTTAAGAACAATTAGGTATGGAAAATTTACTATCAGAGAATAAATACTATCTCTTCCACCTTTCTGTAGTTGTAAGAAGGTTATGCATGTAGGGCATAAGCTTGAAAGCACTGGATATAGTGATGGCTCCCTCTTTGAAATATTTTGTATTAGTCTTCTAGGGCTCCCATAATACAATATCACAGATTGGGTAGACTAACTAGCAGAAACATTTTTAATCACAGTTCTGGAGGTTAGAAGTCCAAGACCAATGTGCCAACAGAGTTAGTTTCTGGTGAGATTCTCTTTCCGACTTCTAGATGTTTGCCTTCTCGTTGTGCACTTACGTGTCCTTTCTTCTAGGGAAATGGGGAAAGAGCTTTGGTGTCTGTCTTTTCTTATACGGATACTAGACAAACCACATTTGGGCCTCACAATTATTGTCACTTAACCTGACCTATCTCCTGAAAGGTCCTGTCTCCAAATACAGCCACATGGGGGGATAGAGCCCCAACATGTAAATTTTGGGGGGACATAATTCAGTCCATGACATCTTTATTGATTTAAACTTCTATAAGACACAATCTCTTTTGATGTCTCTTATTCTTTTACCAAACCATGATACTGACTTTGTGGGTGTGCAAAATGTGTGTAGGTGCACAGAGTATCCTACTAGAAAGAATCCCATGATTGTTTATATTCTTTGCTGTTGTTGTCCTGAAGTTATTAGTAATTTTTATTAATGAATTTTGTTTTATACAGCAGGTTTTGGTTCCCAGGAAAATTAGGTGGAAGGTGCAGAGATTTCCTAAACACCCTCATCCCTGCCCACACACAGTTTCCTCCACTTATCACTATCCCCCACTAGAAGATGAATCTATTACAATTGACTAAACTACACTGACACATCATTATCACTCACAGTCCATACTTTATGTAAGGTTTTCTTTTGCTTTTGTATATTCTATGGATTTTGACAAATTATATAATGACATGTACCCACCATTCTCCTATCGTGCAGGATAGTTATACAGCCCTAAAAAATTTTTGTGCTGCCTATCCATCCCTCCCTTCCCCCAACCCCTTGATGGTCACTGATCTTTTCACTGTCTTCGCAGTTTTGTTTTTTCCAGAGTATCATGTAGTTGGAATCATACAGTATATAGCCTTCTCAGATTGGCTTCTTTCACTTGATAATATATATTATATATTTCCTCTATGCTTTTTCATGGCTTGATAGCTCATTTCTTTTTATCAGTGGATCATATTCCATTGTCTGAATATACAAAGTTTATTTATCCATTTTCCTACTGAAAGATATCTTGGTTGCTTCCAGGTTTTAGTAGTTTGTTTTTCCATAAGACTTTTAATATTTGACTCCACTCTCTTCTTGCTTGCATGGTTTCTAGGAGAAATTGTACACAATTCTCTTTGTTCCTTAAGTTTTTTCCCCTTCTAACTTTGTTCAAGATTTTTTCATGATCTTTGATTTTCTGAAGTTCAAGTATGATTTGCCTCAGTATAGCTTTTTTTCTTTTTACATTTATCCTTCTTGGTGTTGTCCTTAAGATCTCTGCAGATCTTCCTAGATCTGCAGTCAGGTGTCTGACATTAATCTGAGGACATTTTCAGTCATTTATTGCTTCAATTATTTCTCCGGTTCTTTTCTCTTTCTCTGGCATTCCAATTTATGCATTTCGTGCCTTATGTAGTTGTCCCACAATTCTTGGATATTCTTTTTTTTCCCAAATACTTTTCTCTTTGCAGTTTTTGAAGTTTCTATTGTCTAATCCTTGAGCTCAGTCATGCCCAATCTTTTCCTGTGTCCAGCAAAGACATTCTTTTTTTACTACACTGTGTTTTAATGTCTAGCATTTTTTTATTCATTCCCAGAATTTCTGTTCACATTATCCATATGTTCTTGCGTGTTGTCTATGTTGTCCTTTCAAGTCCTAGCATATTAATCATAGTTTTAAGAAAATCTCATATCTGTTTAATTCCCAATTCCTTGCCAATATCTGTCTCTGGTTCTGATGGTTGTTCATTTTCTTCAGACTCTGCATTTTTCCTCTGAGTGTGCCCTGGGATTTTTGTTGAAAGGTGTATATGATCTACTGCGTGAAAGAAACTGCTATAAATCTTCGTTTACTAATGCAGTAAAGTGTGGGGGAACGGGATGTGTTCCGTAATCCCATGATTAGGTGTCAGGCTTTTGGGGGGGGCAGTGTACCTGAATTGTAAACTTCACCAGTGCTGCTCTTCTTTGCTCAAATAGGTGAGACGCAGTGGCTGAAGTTCACTGAAGCAGTGTTTCCCCTCCCCCCCCCCCCCCCAGAAAACGGCTAGAGGGGGCTGAAGTCGGGGAGCTCCTTGCTTGCGAGTGTCAGACTCCAGTGAAAGTGTCTCCTCAGAGCAAGTTTTGTTGAGAACAGTAAACTTTGGTGTATTTCGGAACGACTCATTTTCCCCTCTGCTCACCAGAACCCTGAGGGGATTTTTCTACAGGATTCACTGGGAGGCCTGGTGCAGCTCCGAGAGGTAAAACTGGGTCCCCCTGGAGCTTTTCCTCTCTCACACTTGTCTACACGGAGACTCCAGCAATTTGCCAATTACAGTTGCGGTTTTCCAGCCCCAGTACTGGTTCCTGTGCAGGTCCTGTGCAGGTTTCTGCGCGTGGCTTTCTGGTACCATAGTGGTGATTCTCTGTATCTGCTTGTCTCTCACTCTCTCTGATTTTGCAGGCAAGAGTTTGCCCTGGGAATCTGACTTTTCTGAAAGATCTATGAAGAGGTTGATTTTTTAGTTTGTTCAGGTTTCTTACTTATCATTATGATGGAGTGAAGACTTCCAAGCTTTGTAAATGCTGGACTGGAAACCGGAAATCATTCAAGTTCTCAGCAATTTTTTTCACAAGGGGCCCACATTTTTGAGTACTGCAACTTGTGTAGCACAGACCGTTAGGGTGCTCAGAGGCTCTCTCCTGCCTGCTTCCTCTCTCCC